AGAAACCAAATTAGGTTGAAAGGTCGAGATAAATCATGTCTATTTTTTTTATAGAGGTAATAGAACTTATAGCTAATATCTCTATACGAAGCATTTTCTTTTTATGTAAAGAACCATAGTAGGTTGGATTTGACTTGGTTTGGATTTGATATTTGCTTATCAGGTTAATCTTGAACTCAATTCTAACAGAACTAGATTTATTAACTCGTACCAACTCTACTTACAAGTTTATGAGTGATTTGTGCAAAGTCGATAATAGCTATAGGATAGAATATATAGCTAAATAGGACCAAAAATTGTCTTTTGTTGTGTTTATGTTTCTTAGCAACAACAACAACAACCAAGCGTTTATCCCAAATGTTTGGGGTCGGTTACGTGAATCATATTTTTTTATTCTATTCTGTTACGGGTCATTTCCTCCGTTACGTTAGTCTTAATCATATCCGTTTTAATTACTTCTGATCAAGTCATTCTAGGTCGACCTCTAGATCTTCTAGCCTCATTAACTCTTAACATTATCACTTTTCCTAATCGGTCTTTACACAAAAAGTTAGTTTACAACTAATGCAAAAAGATAAGGACTTGAAACCGACCCTTGGTGTAAACCTATGGTAACAGGAAATAGTTTAGTCTCTCTTTCATTAGTTCTTACTCTAGTTGTTCCTCTATTATACATATATTTAATCACATCAATATATATACTAGATACATGTTTTTTTTTCTAACACCCACCACATTACCTCTCTAAGTACTCTATCATAGGCTTTTTCTATATCGATAAAAACCATATGTAGATCCATTCTCTTCTCTCTATATCTCTCCATCAATCGTCTCAAAATATGTATAGGTTCCATAGTTAACCTCCCAGACAAAACCAAATTGATTTTTATATATACATATCTCTTTTCTTAGTCTTTGCTCAATTACCCTCTCCCAAAGTTTCATAGTATGACTCATGAGTTTTATACCTCGATAATTTGAACAACTTTGTATCTCCCCTTTATTCTTATATATCAGTATCAAAATACTAATCCTTCACTCATCCGACATTATTTCTGTCTCGATAATCTTATTAAATAGTTTAGTTAACCATTCTAAGGTTATATCTCCAAGACATTTTCAAACTTCAATAGGGATATCGTCCGGTCCTACGATTCGTCCACTTCTTATTTTTTATAGAGCATCTTTAACCTCGCTAATTTTAACTTTACGACAATATCTATAGTTCCTATTATTCACTATATGGTCAAAATCTCTATTTTGCTCACTTGTTTGATTATCATTAAACAATTGATAAAAGTAACCCCTCCACCTCCCTTTTATTTCCCCGCCGGTCACTAAAACTCTTTGATCCTCACTTTTAATACACCTAATATTACCCAAATCTCTACTCTTCCTTTCTCTAATCTTAGCAAGCTTATATATCTCTCTCTTCCTCCTTAGATTTTAACTTCTTATAATAATTTTCATAAGCTTTGTATTTATTCTCAATAACCGTTCTTTTTATTTCCTTCCTTACTAGTTTATATTTTTCTAAGTTTTCCCTACTCCTACACTTTTACCACTCTTTATATAAAGTTTTTTCTCTCTAATAACCTTTTGCACACTCTCATTCCACCACCAACTCTCATTACCGTCTAATCTACAAACTTTAGATTCTTTTAGGATATCTTTAACCACTTTCCTAATACAAGAAGACATGTTATTCCACATAATATTAGTCTCATTATCTATGTTCCATATATCTTGTTTCATTATCTTATCTTTAAAATGAATTAAATTCTCTCCTTTTAAATTTCACTATTTACTTCTTAGTCTTTTGTTCACGTTAGTTTTTCTATTCCACTGTTTAATAGATTTGTCTAAGACCATCAATCCATGTTGTGTACTTAAACTCTCCTGGTATAACTTTACAATCCTTGCATATTAACTCATCCGCCATTCTAGTAAGAAAAAAGTCTATTTGACTATTATTAAAACAACTTTTAAAGGTTATTAAGTGTTCATCCCTTTTTCCAAAAAGTGTATTTGCTATTATCAAATCATACGATATTGCAAACTCTAGAATAGATTTACCTATATCGTTCTTATCTCCATACCCGAAACCTCCATGTATCCTCTCATATCCGTTATTATCCTTACCAACATGTCATTAAGATCCCATCCTATAAGTAATTTCTCTCCAAATGAGATTCTTTGTACTAATTCATCTAATCTATCCCAAAATTTCCTTGTAGTACTCTCGGGCAAGCCTATTTGTGGTGCATAAGTACTAATAATATTAATAACCTCTGCATCTAAGATAACTTTTATTAGTATTATTCTATCTCCAACTCTTCTTACATCTACAACACTTATTATTATTATATTATCTACAAGAACTCCCACTTCATTCTAATTTTTCTCTTTTCCCGTGTACCAAAGTTTATATCCGGTCTTTTCAATTTCTCTAGATTTTTCACCTATCCATTTAGTTTCTTGTAAACAAATTATATTTATCTTTGTTCTAATCATGACATCCACTAATTTCATTGTCTTTTCGGTAAGTATACCTATATTTCAAGTAGCTAATCTAATTCTGTTTTCTTGTAAAAGTCTCCTACCATTTTCCCTCTTAGACCGTTCTAGTCTATGCCTAATACTATTAGGTATCCTATTAGAGTATTGTAGATTCTTAGAACACTCTTACCTACTAGTTATTACATCGGGGTGACATCAATGTAATGCGTCGCTTCCGGGTGACGCCCTAGCAAACAACCATTGCTTACTTATCATTGCATCAGGGTGAGATCGATGCAACGCGTCGTGGTGGGGACGGCCCAACGAGTATATAATAGGATTCATTTTATATGTGGATCCGACTATGTTTTACACTGGTTGTCGGTTACCTAACACAACCCTCCTCCTTTATCCTGGTTTGGACAGACAGTGCTGATAGACAGCACTGGCGGAGTTATCATCAAGCTTGATGCAAATGAAAATCCATATGGTCCCTCTCCAGAGGCAAGTTGTAATAGCTTAAATCATAGATGCAAATTTTAATGCTGCCAACAATTAGTATATATCGCTCAGTTGGTTTCATTTTGTTATATTCATCTTCATGCACATACCTGGTAAATTATAATTAGAAATTAATTAAATTTCCGCAATGACAAATAACTAACTCTTGCCTAAGCTTAGTGTAATAGTAAAATCTTATACTACACTGACAGATTGACCAGCTTAATAACTAACTCTTGCCTAAGCTTAGTGTAATAGTAAAATCTTATACTACACTGACAGATTGACCAGCTTCTGAATTTTCATGAAGAACGTCTGAATATAATAGTAAAATCTTATACTACACTGACAGATTGACCAGCTTCTGAATTTTCATGAAGAACGTCTGAATATTTGCATGTTGGGTTGCAACTAATTCTACATGTTGATAAAATCATTTCTTGAATCAAAGGAGTATAACTGTGGTGTTAGTAGCTTTTATTTCCGGCTCCCGAAATTTAAATACTTACAGGACCTGCCCTTGTTGGTCTCCATCTCTCTGTTGAGAGCTACCAAATTCCAATATTACATTTTAATACATAAATGTGTTTTGTCGCACACAAAGAGGATAGAGTTAGAAAATATGAGAATTTCTAAATTTCTTTTTGAAATCTTAAAGGTTAATGAAGCTTTGTGGGCATTAAAATTTCCTTATGTTTACCCTGATCCTGAAAGTCATTGATTGCATGCTGCTCTTGCAAAAAATTCAGGACTTGAATCTGATTATATACTTGCTGGTTGTAGAGCAGATGAACTTAGTGATCTAATTATGAGGTTAAAGCATGGATTCTCCTGATTCTATTTAAGCCATATTCCATTACTATCCTGCACATCATGCATCAAGTATATTGATGTTTATCTTAGTGGTCTTACACAGATGTGTGCTTCATCTTGGTGACAAGATTTTTGACTGTCCACCAACATTTACTATGTACGAGTTTGATGAAGCTGTGAATGGAGCACTGGTCATCAAAGGTACTTAGTTGGTTTCCTTTTAACCTGCTTCTTCTTTTGGAGAAAAAGGAAATGATTTAAAGTGAAACACAATGGGACTTTTGCTTCATCATTCTTCTAAATTAAAGGAAAAAGAAAAAGTAGGGTCATCTGGTCCAATTAAATTGTTACCAGTTTTGACAGTCCATATGTTTCCATTGTGTTGCAGTTCCAAGATTATCAGATTTTTCTTTGGACGTTTCTTGTGTTGTTGAAGTTGTCAAACTGGAAAAACCAAAATGCATTTTCCTTACATCTACAAATAATCCAGATGGAAGGTAAATTCCCAATCCATTCGACAGCTCATCCTTTTTTCTAACTGTGATTATATTTTAGCATGTTGTTATAGAAAAAAGTTGAGCTATTCATACTGGTGTTCTAGTTATAGTTGATCACTTGTTATTTATTCAAAACTGCAGCCATTTCCTTTGTGATTCTGCTTCGAGCATGGGTCTACCTTGTCTGATATCAATTGATTGCTATCACATTCTTACAGTATAATCAGTGATGAAGATCTCCTAAAGATTCTTAGCGCCCCAGTATTGGTTGTGCTGGATGAAGCTTACATAGAAGTCTTTGGTATAAAGTCAAGGATGGACTGGGAAAGAAGCATGACAATTTGATTGTCCTTCGGACATTTAGTAACGAGCAGGTTAATTAGCATCTTCAGCCATTTTCCATATGTATGAGAATGTGATACTTTGTGCTTCAAATCAAGTGCATTTTGAATCCAATTATTCTATATAAGTCTATTTATCTTATACTCTTTGGCATCTCTTTATGCTTAATGATTGTTAAAAGTTTGATTATTTAATTTATAGGCAGCTCTTATTATCGAACATGCCTTTCAAATAGGTTTCCTGGTTTCCTTTGCGCTTCAGATATGAACTCTAAACATCATAGTGAATCTTATCATATTCCTCCTTCAATGTCTTCGCTTAGATCCCTAGTCTATAATAAATTGGATGCTTTATCCTTTATCCATGAGTAACTATATCATGAGAATCTGCTGTTTTACTACCTGCCAACCATCCCTTTAGGTTTGGTAGTGGGTGATTATTTAATTTATAGGCAGCTCTTATTATCGAACATGCCTTTCAAATAGGTTTCCTGGTTTCCTTTGCGCTTCAGATATGAACTCTAAACATCATAGTGAATCTTATCATATTCCTCCTTCAATGTCTTCGCTTAGATCCCTAGTCTATAATAAATTGGATGCTTTATCCTTTATCCATGAGTAACTATATCATGAGAATCTGCTGTTTTACTACCTGCCAACCATCCCTTTAGGTTTGGTAGTGGGTTTGAGGAGGGAAGGTGAGGTGCAATTAGGTGAAGGGATGGACATTCCTTCGAGCCTTCATGTTTGGTTGGAGAGAGAGTGAAGGGAGGTGGACCTTTTTGTAGTTCACTTTCTCTCTCCTCTTGTGTCCTCTGTGATCCCAATTTGAGGGATTCTCTCTCTAGATTTCTAGTTCATTTTGCATTAGCTCACCTCACCGGCTCACCCCACATCACCCGCTCACCCTGCCTCACCTTCCCCTCTAAATACCCTCTGCCAAAGGGGATTTTAGTTTTGTCCCTCACTTCACCCTACCTCCCCCATACCAAACCAAACCTTAGTTTGGCTAGTATCTAGCATATATCTACTTTTTTTTGTCTTTTTGTCAGAAATTTAATTTTCTAATAGTTAGGGTGTTGACATCAGGTCGTAGCAACATGAATTTGGTAATCGTTCCTCAGAACCTTCTGATCTGGGCCTGTGCCCGACAGAGGGCATAACTTTTTTCTTCATGTTACGTTTATGTGGCTCTCTTCATGGAGAACTCAATGTGCTTGTGGAAATTTAAAGGAGCAATTTTGACATAATGTAAGTATCTTGAAGCAAGTCAATGGCTTAAAAGTGGTCAATTCTTTTCCAAAAATTAAAAATAAATACACTGTTGCTCTTTTATGATTTTCGCAATTGCACTATATCCGTAGTGTGAGGGTCTTTCAATACCATTTGACATGAGTTCTGTTTGCTATCTCAACCTTCATCTCTGATCTCTTTCCTCTCGGTGAGAGTCAAAGTTCTCAATGAAGCGCTGCTTTCGTCATAACTCTTGGAAGCATCCATGAGCTTGAGCAAAAAAGAGTCAGATGCTTTGCTTAATTTAGAGTTAGATACTTTGCGTTCAGGTTTTTTCCGGACATTCTATGCCCGGGAAATTCCCTTCTCTGTATGAGAAGCTAACCTGTCTTCCAATATATTTTCCCCCTTAAGATCATCCTTTCCAGGATCGAGATTAGGAGAATGCTCTATCCTTTTTTTTGCCATTCACCGAAATAATTACTCCTGTAAGGCCCAGTTAGAATGTGATTTATAACCCTCAATCCTCAGCGGTCAGCGCAACTTTGGAGTTATGGTTTAGTTGCGGGGATTTTAAGATTGTGTCAGAGCAATTCAGCTTCAATCTTACTAGCCACGAATTTAAAGCGGATTTTAAAAAGGTTGATACCGCTGCGTGAGTCTAGGTTTTGGCCCGTAAGTGTAGTGGCAGGGACTTTAAGAGGCCCAACCATTCTTCTGTCACAGAAAAGCAGTCACAGGCTACAATGACACGGAGAACAAAAAACATTCTGTAAGAATCCTTGTTTATTGTGTATCCATATAATTTTTTATGGGAAGTAAATAACAAGTAAATTTCTTACAGATGACTACTTCATCTCATATCAAGTACATGATTATCTATAACATAATCTTCTAAACATGGTGATAGGCTGATAGTGCTTACTATTATGTTTCTATAAGATAAACTTAACAAATGTATGCTTCTGCTTCCACCTGAACAGGTTCAGCTGGACTTTGTGTTGGATATGGGGCATTTCCCCTTAGCATTATCTAATGTCTGTGGAGGGCAGAGCAACCATATAATGTGTCTGTTGCAGCTGAAGTTTCTGCTTGTGCTGCTTTACAGAACCCTGATTGTTTGGAGGTGCATTCACATAAGAATATGTTGTACTTCTTGTTTTTAGATGACTTTCTGTATTTAAGTTTACAATTTTATTTAGTTATGTATCACCCCTCATAAGGTGAAAATTTTTCTAGTACAAGAAAGAGTAAAGTTGTATCATCTTTTGAAGGAAGTGCCTTACTAGAAGCCACACCAAAGCTATTCTAATTTCATTCTCTGTGAGGTTACATCTGGAAAGGATGCTAAGAGATTAGAGGTAATTTATTTTCTCCAGGCTCATTATCGAAAAAGGTCCTCATCTTGGCATTGTGAAGTGACCTAACTGGAGCTTGCCTCACGTTTCTTTTATTCGCATTGCACCATAATCTTTTAAACATGTATTTCTATAGTTTTCAGCTTTAGTTAAATAGTATAAATTGCTTTCCTAATGATTATAGCAGCAGATTTGTACTGCTATCTGTTGCTCACTATGTTCAGGGTTTAAAAAAAAACTTCCAGTTCCATGAGGAGTTCCTGATTGTTTTGGACAGTGATAAAGTGGTAATTGGTCAAATCATGTTGATGCTGAAAATGTGAAGTACCTAAGTTACTCAAGTTAATACTTTTTTCCTTTGCATGAGTGATTCTTATTACCTTTTGTGCTTGTTGGAATTTATGTAGTGGTAGACTAACTTAGCAGAATGGAAGTCAAGAAATATATAAATAAATAAAATAAATATTTCTTGAAGAATCCTGAAGATCTGGTTTTCATAGGTAGCCAGGGTTTTGATTCATGATCATTTCATTTTACAATCTGTGGGGAGGGTAGCTGTTTTTTCTGTATCTCTTAGTTGTTAGAGTTTGACGATTATTGGGATGATGCTTTGATGCGTACATGATATCTTTTGTGTTATTTTCTTGCATAACGAATGTGAAGTAGTTTATCATCTTTAGATGATTCGATAAAAATCTGTACTAACTACTAAGATGCATGTATATCGATATAAGACTATATGAAATAGAAAGGTTTCATATCCAATAGCACATTTCATTTCATTGCTTCAATGTCTTCAAGGAGTACCATTTAAGGATGTTCATGTAACTGCATTTGCATCTCAACTAATATTAAAAATTTTGTTCAGGAACGTCTTTCACAAATGGGTATAATGATCCATCATTACGGCAACAAGGCGCTAAAGGGATATGCTCGAATCTCTGTTGGGAAGCCTGAGCATACCGATGCTTTAATTCAATGCCTCAAAACTCCTCTCATGCTAACAAATGAGCAAATGAATGGAATTTCTGGTAAGCATACAAGAAAGAGATTATTTTTTTCGGCCAAATTATCTAGGAACACACTGTATTACATTTTCTCGTATTTGTTATAGCAATTTGAAACCGATGAACTAATGTAATTTCTCTTTAGCTTTTACTATTCCATCTACTTTGTTAAAAAATATTATTAGTAATCTGTCTTTATCCTGCAAAAGTACTGAAACTGTGGCTTTCAGTATCTGCTTATTCTTTAGTAGTTTCATTACGGTTGAGCATGAGTAGAACAATTAACTTGATTATCACAACCTATAAAAGTATCAAAAATTTCATCCACCCTTCTACAAGAAGCAGTCATATATTTAACAAAAAGTGTCATATTTCTTTTAAAATCATCATAGTTTGTCATATTTCTGTTGTAATCTTCTCCAAATTTATATCTGTAGTATTTGCAATTCTACCAACATTCCAGATGTAGTACTTAAGTTCTACAAACCCAAATGGTCATATGATAGGGCCCATAGAATATGTAACCGTCTCATAAAAGGCAAATAGTATATAGGCGAGCCTGTGAATTTATACACATATATACCACCTATATGTATCTAAAAGATAAACACTGAAGCATCAAGTCAGATGAAGTTGGACATGCTCCTAGTGCTCTGACGGCGAAGAAAAAAAAAATGCAATCTTATGCATGGGACCAATGAGATATAAAGTTATTAATGCTCAACCACTAAATAATGTCCAATCTATTTTATTCAGATTGCAAATTAAAATTCTAATTCTCTTATAAACAATTCCTGTGTGTCCTGAAACCTGGTCTTGAATCTTTAATAATGATGAATGGATAACTATATGACATACCTTCCTAATATTAAGAGTTCTTCTCTTCATTCTAACTATCACTAGTGTACGCTTCATATACATGCCTGGTATTTGTAAATGCTTCAATATTGAAATTCGAGCATATGATTTTTATGGTTTTGCATCTCAGTAAGTACTTTCAAAGGATGTAAATGAGCGTTGCAAGGGTAATATAAGCCTTCCATAAATGGAAGCTAATTGGTTGCATATAATCTCTTTTTCTTTGTTCACCGTTTTTTCCGCTTAATGCCTTTGGAATTCTTGCACCCTTCTCTTTAGAGAGAGGTCATTTTTGTAACTTTGGGCTGGTTTTCTCAATTCAAATGTTACGTTTCAATACCAAATGAAGGCATGATCTCCTTGGTTTTAAAAAAAGGTCTTCTAACTTAGCTACTACTTTGTAATTTAAGAGTAGTCCGAAAAATTTAGCCAGGTGGTCTGAAATTGCTAAAAAAAATTCAGCAGAATCTAGAATGAATGAAATTAATAATTAATATTAAATTATAGCCTAGTTGTTATATCTATATACTAATCATTGTGGAATCAGCGATAGTCTAACGTTGTTAAGTGTTATATCCGTATATTAGTATCTGTAACACAAGGATACAATTTGTTGTGCCTGCATTCTAATATAGGAAGACATAAGCAAGTTGTATTTGTAATTTGTATATGAAACTAGTGATAGGCTAAGGGGGTGTTTGGTTCAATTTCTACAAATTATAGTAAATGTTTTCCACCCAAAATATGATTTCCTTATATTTCTTAAAAAAAATTATATGAAAATTTTTGAGAAGTCAAAAAGTACAAATTTTTTTTTTACTTCGCTTGTTTGGTTCAAAACAAGAAAATGGCCCATAACTTTATAAAAAATAGCAAGATTTCCTATAATTTGTAGAAATTGAACCAAACACCCTCTAAATTTATAGAAAAATATCAACTTTATAGAAAAGTGTCAATGTGTTGTCAGATTTCTGGGTGATTTTCGCTCATTTTGAGAGGAAATTGGTTTCTGTAAATTTTGTTAGTTTTTTGTACTTTACAGAAAACATTTCTGTAATTTTTTTTTTTGAACCAAACACAGTTTACGGAAATTTACAGAAATTTTTTAATTACAGAATTGCCATTGTCAGACATTTTGAGAATTTTTTTCTATAAAATTGTGCAACCAAACACCCCCTAAGTAACATATGGCATATTCTATCAAAGAAGAGTGTGTTATGAAGCTTTGGCATTTATTTGGTTAATTGTTACAGCCTCTCATGTGCCTCAGGAGGTATTTCATTTAAATATATTGAAGGCAGGTCGCTGAACTTTTAGTCTTACCAACCGTCCCATTATCATTTATAACGTAGATAGTTTGAATAATTTGCTAGTAGTACTAACTTATCTAATCATAGTTCTCTTTACCCAGCATTTTGAACAGTTCTAGATTTTTCATTAATTGGTATTGTAATACCTCATTCAAAGTTGCTTCCATCACTACCTAATAACTTGCGATATATGTCTTTTGTTTTGAACAGGCTCTCTCTTTTCTGATGAGATGTTAGGCCAGCAATTTCACCATACATTGATGTCAGCAATGCACGCGAGGAAGAAATAGTATCCCCTGATTCAGTGTTTTATTTTTTTTCCGGAATAATATATTTTACCCAGCATTGTAGTTAGTTCTAGATTTTCCATTAATTCACTGGATAACACCTTGTTCAAAATATTTTCCATCACTACCAAGTAATCTGCAGCATAGCAACTTCTTTCTGAGCATGTTGTTTTGGGCTTACTACCTCTGTAGTCTCGTTGTTGCGAAAAGACCCCCTGGGTCAACAATTTTCGACTCTTTTACCCTGGGTGAGATTTTGGCAGATATTGTCCCTGGTTGAAATTATTGAGCTTTAGGGTATAAGATCAAAAAAGAAGAAATTTTCTAAACAAACCCATCCATAAATTTTTTTTCTTAAAATAGAACCCCCTTGAGTTTTTTTTTTACAAAAAGCGACTCATTTTGTCTTAATTCGGTTTCTAAATAGTCGGGGTTGCCAACCCCGACTATTTAGTGCATAGAATGTTAGGGTTTAGGGTTATAATTGGGGGTTTACAACCTCTTAAATAGTCGGGTTGACAACCCCGACTATTTAGGAACCGGATTAAGATAAAATGAGTCTATTTTTGTAAATAAAACTCAATGGGGTCTATTTTTAGAAGGAAAAAAAAATACGAATGAGTTTATTTAGAAAATTTCTTCGATCAAAAAACCCAGAGAGTAGTCTATCTGCAATGATGAAACCACCGGGGTGGCCTATTCAAAACATCGATACTATAGGGGTTCTATGTGCAATCAACCATTTCTACTAACAACCTGTTATGGCAGCAATTTGACCATGCATTGATGTCTCCGGCCGGTGCGGGCGGGGAAGAATTAGTATATGTTGATTCAGCTTTTTTTTTTTCTTTTTTCTAATAATATCTTCGAAAAGAACAGTTCGATGGAAAAGTATAAACTTTTGGAGGGAGTTTTTGTTGATTTTGGAAGACATTAGTTAACTGCTTCAAGAACGAAGATACAACTCCAATTGCCCTTCTCTATGAAGCCAAGGCATCAGCATGACACTATACTTACAGCAACATTTTTGACAATAAGTGTATAATATTATGCTGGCAGGACATTATTTATAATGAAAATGATTATTGTGGAAAGGGAGAGCCCCTTGGTTGCATTTGTCTGTTTTGTTCTCATTTTTCTTATTCCTTTTTTTTCTTTTTTTTTCTTTTTTTTCCCTTAATATTCTTAGCTACACATTGTAGGGTAAGGACTCTTTGCTGTCAGTACTTTGTTTCCATACTCTTTTATCTTTGTATCAATGGACAATGTAGTGTATCTTTCCTCTTTACTTCCACGTTTATAATTTATTTTATTTTTTTTTGGTCTTCATGTAAATTTTGTATCTGTTTCCTCTAATTAATAAATTCTGTAATCATCTCGTCCTGTCTAATTAATTAAACTTGAGCAAGTTTTATGTCATTGATCACTCGGATTCTCTCTCTTCAGAAAATTAGAACCACATATGATTAGCAAACAAAAGATGTAGCACTTTTTTTCTAACATAATAAAATGTTTTGTTTATAAACATGTCACGAATAAAATCGATGTGTCTAAAGAAGTTGAAATGGGCCCCACAAGGAAAGACAAGGGGAAGCAACGTAGAGACCCTTGCCACCTGCTGCGTAGCAAATCCAGCTTGTTTCACATGCAAAAAGCCCATCATCGCTCGTACCCTTTTTTGACTTTTGTTTCTTTCATTGCACCAAAAAGTGGACCCATTTGAGGAAAAGTGGGCCCAATCTTAATTTTGGATTAGGTTATTTTCTTAATCTTAATCATTTGATATAATCGAGAGTTAAGCGTAATTCATTATTAATATTCTTGGTGAGTAAGCTAAAACTCAAACCTCACCGTGTAATTGTACGGTCATCTCCCTTCCGATATACCAACATCACCTTATATACAACGTCTGTTTGGTACGTGAGAATGGACTCAAATGAGAATGGAATGGAAGAAAGAATGAAATTGAATTAATGTGAGAATAGAATAGTCATTCTCATTCTCACGTTTGGGTGTAATTTATAAAATGAAGTGGGAATGGACGTATTTTAAAATTGTATATTTTATTGATTCTCATTTAAGTAGGAATGCTTATTCCCTATCATTTTATTGGGAATGCTCATTCCCACATAAAGTGGGAATTGATGAGAAGTGGGAATGAACATTCCAACTTCAAAAAAAGGGCGTGTTTGGTAGGAAGGAATGAGAAGTGAGAATGACCATTCTATTCCACCTCATTCCCGCGTACCAAACGAGGCAAGAGTAAATTGGTCGACTAAACCTTAATCAGTTTTGTTTGGTCTTCTAATTCTTCATCCTACCTTCTAGTGTACTTTCCGCTCTTCTCCCGTTCTACTTCGTGTGTACAATTTCTCTAGCTAATAATTTTCTTGAACATCTTTTAATGACTCAACGTGCATCATGACTTCAAAGTTTTCGTAAACAAAAAGGGACCTTTAAGATAGTATCACAGCAATCTACCTAGAAATTTCATGGGACCGCCACCGTAAAACTTCAGATTTCAGCTCATGATCAGAAGGACATTCATCTTAAAAATTCCTTTTTTTAAAAAAAAAAACTCCTTTTGAGAAAGAGAAAAACAAAAGGGGACACAAATGCCTTTGTCAAAGCTCCTTTGACAATGGTCTCCTTTTTGCCATTTCTCTCTAATTATTTCATTCTCAGCATAAATTCACCATTCATAGAAATATAATGATGGGTAGTCCTCTCTTTTTCTCTGCCGCGTATGACCTGTTCCCTTGCCAGATGGTTGCACTAAACCTGCAGACTTTTTGTTTTTAACAACCTGAGACTCTTTTGACGATTAGATCTTTTATATATGATAATGAGTCACTTTATGAAAACAAATCCTTTGGAAAAGTTCACATTGTGATGGGTTAAGTACGACGAATTATTAAATTATAGACCGATCATTTTCTGATGACTCGTTGGTCAGGATTACTATAATCATTAATCAATATCAGCTTTATGTTAACACTAAAGATCACTTTTCAAATGTTCATTCATATACATAACTACTACTCCAACCAAAAAATGATAAGAGTTTGATAGCTGTGAGGTAACGGCTAATTTTTAAAAACTAAGTCGGAGGTAAAAGGGTGAGCTCCACGACTTCTGATGTAGCATGACCATCTCTTGGTAGCTTATTCAGCTAAGTAAGTCGCCAGATTGTACCTATTTTTTTCTAGTAATAAAATATTGTTATTGGAAACTTGCTCTCTATGTTACCTGTCCACTTGTCAATGTCATGTCAAAAGAAAACTAATGTAAAGGTTTCAAGTACAGAGTCAGTAGGGATGAGTAACCAAAGTTGTCAACAGAAGAGATTATATCTACACATGCTATCTTATCCTGAGATTTTTGGTTTAATAATTAATATATCCTAGTGGACTTTAAACGATGCTTATCAATCAATTGGAGTTGATGATTGAAGACTAGAGCACAGAAATCCCAGTTGCATGGGGATCAGGACATATAATCTCATGGGGGGAGTAGTTAGGAGCAAGGATTATATTTATTCCACAAGTGCGCAATCGCACACATCATCATCAACTCGCTGGCCGATTGATCAATAAAAACCCCATCTGCTCCCAACGGGGGCAGTTGGAATAATATCCATCCTTCCCAATATGCGACTTCTGTTGGGTCCCACTCGATGGGCCTTAAATGCATGTTAGCGGATCGGATTGCGTTTGCGAGCGGATTGTTCTGAACTACACGAACAAGGGTTGGAGGACAATTTAGAGATTTCAGAGACAATTTAATAAGTATTTTAGAGCTATTCCTATTATTTTTAGTTTAGGGGTTCTTATTGATCCATGTTTGAAGGATGTTGGCTGTTAAAATTTGTTAAATTCTTTGTAGGGTAACATTATAATAGACACTGATGATAGTCAAACTATTACTGCTCTTACTCATCATAATACTATTAGAACTTATTTTTAAAGATTATATGATGAGTTTGAAGCTAGATATGGTGTAAGTACACATCAGCCTACAGCTTCTGCTTCTACGAGTTCAAGTCGGGGCAAAGGTAAGAGTTTTGATAGGGAATTATTAATAGCTCAGCTAACTGGTGGATCTAGATCTAGACCTTGATCATTCATGGAAGTTTCTGAAATTGAACAATATTTAACTGCATCTTTAGTTAAAAATCAAAATAATAGTTTCGATATTTTGTAATAGCGGAGAGTATATGGAACAGTTACATATCATATACTTTCTATCATGGCTCGTGACTTACTAACAGTGCAGGTTTTCACGGTAGCTTCGGAATCCGCCTTTAGCAAATCAGGATGTTTGATCGACGACCACATGACATCATTAGATCATTCTACCGTACAAACGGTAATGTGCCTACAAGATTGGTGGAGGTACTAGAAGAAAACTCAAGGCATCGGTCGGATGACTAGTATTGAAGATAAACTTGAAGAGTTGGTAATAAGAGATATAGATAAAGAGTAAAACTTATTCATTAGTTTGTAATTTTTATTTCTTAGCTTAAAATTTGTGATAAATTATTTTGGAAAGAGTTACAAATGATAGTGATATAGATGAGTATATCAACAAATTTTGCTTGGCCTGTGTCCGAGCCACGGATTTTGCTCGGCCCGGGCTGGGCCGGCCCATTTAGACAGGCCTATCCGTCACTGCATAGAAGCATACCACCCCCATGGAAATTTTCTTGTTTATTCCCGTCTCCTTAAGCTTCAGGCTTCTCTTTTGTGTGACATGAATTATTCACTATCAACAAATTTCATGGGGTGCGTTAAGTTGTGTGTGTGTTTTTCCCGAAAATGAGGCGCGCGCGCAAATTCCTCCTCCTCCTCAATTTCAGCCCATGCTATCTGTCAGCCTGAGCAAGATCTTGGTCCCCAAATACCAGAAGAGTACAACTCCCGCTCTTTAACTAATCCTCAAACTAATCTCTCTCTCTCTCTCTCTCTCTCTCTCTCTCTCATCCATGTCAACCAACAAAAACAGAGCAAAAACAGAGAAAACCTTATGCATGTCTCCTGCCAAAAAACCTAGGCCAGCCCTTCCCTCCTCAACCTCGCCTCCGCGCTCCCGATGTTCTTCCCTCGTCGGCCGCACCGGGCATCCGTCGGCGCTCCTCCGCAGCCCCTGTGCGCAGCCGAAGGCCTGGAGCCACAAGACCAAAGTCACATCATGTGCATTCTATATGAAGCCTACCGGCCCCCAGGCCCGGCTCCCATGTCCGACCCCAGTTCAAAGAGTGCGGTCCGGATCGGACTTCAAACAGGCGCACTTTCTCTCGATGCCCCGCGGTGGCGCCAGGGCCCGAGCGAGAGGAGGTCCACGAAGGGATCTGAAGCACGGCTGCGTTCT